AATGTGCATTTTCCGCCTGTCCCACATGCATGTTATAATTAGTGAGATGTATTTTTGTTGGGAGGGGGATGGGGTTGGAGGAGGTTCTAAGTACACGTAGATTGATACAATCGTTGATAAGCATCGGTAATAAAAACCTAAAAGAGTAGGATAATAATATACTGTGGGGATGTCCTCTGTTCAGTTAATTAACTGTAGGAAATCATTTCTATTAACAGAAATGTAAATGTACCCTAAGGGGGTAGGCGACACTATGTCAATTTTGTCGACCCATTTTGCATATACTACAACTGAATTTTAAATGGAACATTTGGTAGTTAAATTGTCAAAGAAATAAATAATTCTGAACGTCTGTTTTGCGAAAATTAGTCAGTAGGAGGCAGACGCTATATGGATTTTCTATATGGCTGTAATATATAAACAGTACACGGTGATCCTCCAGACAGTAGGCCTAGTTACAACACAGATCATAAACTATCTACGCTACTATCATTACAGAAAATTGAAGTCGATTATTAATTCATAAACTGTTTCCTGTGTGGCCGAGAATATAGACGCGAATTTAATAATCAGTAAAGGGTTCACCTATACTAGAAGGTTGCGTACCAGAAACATCTGTCATTAACAGGTAGATAAGTGACGAGAAAAAGTCTGCTCCATAGCAAGATCATCTGTCAACTTGTAAGCAATGTAAAGATGATACATGTACACAGAGACGGCCCTGTTACGGATCACGTACGAACTAAACGATAAAGACTCCACAATTTATGTTTTCATCCAACTTCATGTATACAGATTGGTGCACGTGAAATACATTATGTAATCTAGAAATCTAATAAAGCAACTTGAAGATGAAGACAGTTGAGTCTTGATGAGGTACAATAAGTATTTCTGGATAGTCTGGTCACTTTGGCTAAATGTACAATATTTGCTGGTTGGTACGCGGATGATGTTAGTCTTCAGCTAGCCCTTACTTCTCAGTTCTAGAGATTGTTTAACGTATAAACAAGTTGAAATTTTCGCCCCGAGACTTTTCGTCTTAATGGTTTGTGAACAGAGATAATTCAAAATGAAAACGTGAACTGAACCCAACTGGTACGCTATATAGCGATGTTTGGAGTCGGCACCTTCTGTTACACGAGTAGAAACAAAATGGCGTCTACAGGCCCCGTATCACAAACATTTAGTGTGACCACGTGTAGACTACAAAACGTGCAGCCCGTACTTGAATGACCACACTGTTCTCCATGGTAACCAATGCCGCCGTTGTCACTTTGCGTGGATTTATTGTCGATATTTAATAACGTATATATCAAGAAAAAGCGTGGAGAATCCTTTTAACGTTTCCTGGAACTGACCGATATTATTAAAGGCTTCCAACACCAAATTCCCCGGTGTTTTGTGGCGAATGTCATTACAGTGTTTCTATTTGATCACATTTATTATATATAAGATATCTCCGTTTTCATTTCGTTTTGTCAATAAACAGCACACATTTACGCATACAAACAGTTATCGTTGTAGGCCAGATTAAACTATTCCCAATCGCAAAAATGAGCAAACATTTTGTTGGTTAAATTATTGAAAATTGACGAGCAGTGCTTATCTGTAAGTGCAAAATTGATATCGCGAAATTTTACTTAAAACAAACTTTTATTTTATTGCTTTTGGGATACCGATAGCTTGATGCATCTTTTAGTGTATTTGAGCGGCTCTGTAACATTGCAGTTTTTAATGCTAGTGTGCATTGTTGATTTGTTAAAGATTCGAGATAACATTTCATTAACGGAATTGACAAACTCTTCTTTCATTTAACTACACTGTATTTGTCTAATAAGTTTGTGATCTTGGTGACGTCACATCATCACGTGATATTATTACGGGCATGAGCAACATGGCGTTAACGTATTGCATATGGTCGATGCACACCATTGCACATTAATACTAGTCTGTTTTATCTAGGTTGTGGTCAGTGATGGTAATAGATTAGTTCACTGTTAGTCTTTTGTTTCTGTTAGACTTTTCTGACGCTCAACAAAAGGAAAGTTAACAATGCTTCCAAGGGCAATTTGTTGGTCAAGCTAAATAATAGGCAAGTTCAGTTCAACTTCATTTGATTACATTATACAGTGCAACATAAAGTAAACAATTCAACAACACACACACCACTCCCCCACCTACTCCTGGGTGATATGGTGACGTCACCTTAGCAACATAGTGGTTTAGTGGATGAGTTGACCACACTAGGTCAGAAATAGAGACGTTATTATTTTGTTGTCCTGGCATCGAGACTGAATAGAAACTAACTATATATTTCCCGCTAGTGCACTTGATCGTGAAAACATTCTGAAAGTAGTCTGCCACATCAACAAGGGGACCTTGGATACTATTTTTTATTAAATTTTAGACTTTAAAATGAAAAAAAAAAATGAACCTACAAGTAGCGAAAGTGTTTCTCCGAACGTCAAAATATCTACCCTGTTTGGCGAGAATTTTATGACGTCAGTTTTCTATGACGTTACAATATATAATAATGCCGAACACACTTAACATTTTGATTGGTTATTTTTATTTATGAGATTTGTACTTTCTATTATATTGGTTTATGTTTGATAAAATGTTACTAAATCCACAAGTGAAAAACAAATACAGTGTATAAGTGAATATTTCTCGCTGCAATGAAACATAGCACTGTTTTATCACATAATCGGCCTGTTATCCAGCGAATTAGCTCGTGTTATATTTTTACATACATGTATGTCACTAGTGTTATATACCCTGGAGTGTTTTTCATTGGCTGTGCCAGTCAGAAATCGATTGTGACGTCATAATATAGACAATGACGTGACGTCATCAATTGTGAATGGCGCAACAAAATGGCTGTTTCCGTTTGGTTAAGCCCTCTATATTTTGGTTTTTAAACTTGTCAAATGGTAAGTTTTCTGAGTTATGTGATAAAAAGTATCAAAATTTTGCTCGCCAACGCTCGCAAAAATAAAAACTCCTAAGACTCGTTTCATAAAATCTCATATAAAAAGAAAACTCATTTAAAATCCTAGAAATCTAATGAACAATTCCAAATATTTCACTGGTAAAAATTTAAAAGATAATGATTTTATTTCACCTGTATGAATAGTCTGTTAAGTGAGGTCATTATGTTGATTTAACGGTATTGATTTCCGATATATTACCGTCAATATATTCGGCACATTGTATCGATGACGTCATTTAATGGGTCTCAGAAGTCGCGACCTCATTATATTGGTATAGTTGTATTGATGAAGTCAGTTTGCTGGTATCATCTCTTAAATAGTGACGTCATTATATTGGCTATAAATTGTGACTTCATTAAATGGGTCGAACAACACAATTAGGTGTAACAGAGGTACAAATAAGATAACGGAAGGTATGGGAACATTTGTAGGTATAACAATAATTATCTTTTTTTTTTTTTTTACTTCTCTACGTGAAAGTAGATACCGAACGTTTAGCTCCGTCTTTGCGTTTGTTATCGGACAAAGCTGTCACCATAGATACAAGATACACTGAAGTAAATACACAGACATATGATAGAAAACAAAAACTTGTCGTGGTAGAATTGATAGAAAAGTTTAGCCGATCGATGACCATGGTGTCAGAGTATTTACCCCCCGGCGTCATGGTGCTTTCGTTTTCACTTTTTAATCTAAGCAGATTGTATTGCTGAGCCAAAGCGAACGGATGGAGCACAATTATTATTATAACTAATTTGAATATCAACTAAAATCGTGGTAAAAGTTGAGAAGAAGATGTCATTACGTTCATACAATATTGCATAAAAACCCTCGTTCTACGTTCATACAATGTATACAGAAGGCCCCGGGATATCATGTATTTCATAAAACAGATATTTTGGGATAGCATATATTGTTTATACAATTAACACAAACAAAATCTCTCGGGATATGATTTCGTTTATACAAATGAATACTCGAAGACCACCTGGATAATATAACATAAAAGCCCTCGGGCATTACTAGGTTCATACAATATAACACACATAAAGAAAATAAAGAAAAGTCCAATTCCGTATATTACAAACTCAGACAACAAACACGTCTGAACATCACTTAGTATGCTGTCTGTATGGCGATAAGATTTCACGAGTTATTTCAGCAACATACACGTGAACCTTTTTGTCGTTGTGCTATATATATATATCTACAAGGTGCCTTGTACTAAGTGTCGGTAAGGAGCACGTGTTGTTGATTTCTGTCAAACGTCAGACTTATTTTCTATTTCTCGGCGGACGAAATGTAACTTACAGTATGTCATATCTGTTTGGACAAATCACATCATAAGGATTAATATTTGATGTTAAAAAGCTGTTTACTTTGCTGCCCCATGTTTTTAATCGGAAAAAAGTAACAGATTGTTTAATGAATGAAAACTACATGATTCGACCTAATATGATTACATTAATTCAAGATACGGACCAGTAAATACAGGTAAAATATTCCCAATAGATTATATCTGGTTGTGATATATTTCAGTTCTCCTTGATGTTGCTATTTTTGGGAGAAAAAAACCACAGTTCATTTTCCATCAATCGCCTTAGTTAAGTTTACATTTGGTACGGTGTCTTAACGTGTTATAAAACCTTATTGAATGACTAATCAGCGGATACAGAAACGTAAACCAACATTTAAAAAAATATGTAAACTTAATTAAATCTATTGAAACGGAATACAAACAACGTTATCGTTGATAGTAGTTCAACTGACTAAGACTGCTCTATCAATTCGAATGTAGTGAGAATTCCATGTTTTTTGTTTAACTTTTTTTAATTGTCGAATTTAATTTTCTAACAATATTTTTAGTCATATATTATTGCCACAGCACCTAGATTAAAACGAGGAAGTTGTGTATTTGTTGAAAATAAATATAAATTCATAACGTGTCAATCAAAGGAGGAGAATGCAAAAGATAAATGAAAATAAGAAGAATGATTTTTAACTTACCTTTGAATTGGTTGAGCTGTGATGGTGAGCTAAGTTCTACAAATGTCCAGTGATTTCCTAAGTTCTCACACTATATAAATGTAGTAAATTACACAACATACAGGTCAACACCACGTCAGGGAAAGAAGACTCCTACTTTACTAGTCCTACACCCACACCTGGTAGCTTGGGACACCCAATGTTGTAAATGAATTCTGACGCGCTTCCTGGACTTCCGGTTGAACTAGACCTATAACCGTTGCCACCTCTGAAATCAAAGAGCTTTGCCGATAAAATCACGTGACACCCACTCGATCGATCCTCCTACAGCGGAGAGTGTCGTTTCAAGATATCACGTTGAAGCAGTTCTCTTCTGTCTCCTATACAACAAGGTAACACTATGACAACTGTCAATAGCGTCGTTGTCAATGGTCAATTATGCTTCATAACCATCCCTTGGCGGAAGTGGGACATTCATGCAAGAGATGGGACGTGTTGATAATGGAACCATTTACATCGTAAACAGATCGTCAACATAAAATCGGGTTCCGGTCGGTCCAGACTCGGCATCGCGTCTTTGCATTGTATTATATTGAAGTTTGCAACTTAAAAGGTGTCCATCAAAGTGGGCTTAACGGTGGCACCAAAGGAGGGGTGGAACAAGTCGAGGGAAGGGCTATGCTTCTCACACTAAAAGGTGTACGGATGTTTGCAATACTCGACCAATGTACTCGACTTTAGAAGGGGTATTTAGGGCCGAGTTATAATCGTAGAAGATAGTCAGCACTTGAACTGTACGTAAACAGATAACATGGGCGTGTTATAGTCGATCTGTGTCTGTCGGATACAATATTTATTAACGTTACCGTACAGGTGACTTCACAGAGATCTGATGTTGGTCGCTCGCGAGGAAATGTGAAGAGATTTAGATGTCACAACATTATATCTTCATAGTGTCATTGTTTGTATCTATCTGTTGATAAAGTTTTAACGGTACATCAACAAAAAAGGTCATTCTAGGCCAAACTATAGAAGGTAGGCAAACGTGTGCAGAGAGGAAATGTAGGCGTTTTAAAGTTTATATCAAATCATAGAGAAAATGTCAGTCCAATGATGACATATACGAGAAATGTAGAAACTAAAATCTCTTGATGTCGCAAAATAGGCAACATACATTTATATATATATTTGTTTTCTATGTTATTGTTGTTGTTTTGATAAAAAGCTTTAAAACGAAATCTTTAAACAAGATAGTATATCATCTTTAAGTTTACAACGAAAGTTTTCACGAATGATTGAAAATTAGAAAACGAAATATGAGGGAAGATGAATAATTTTCTTAGACTGTTAATTAATCTTTAAAAAAAGAAAAGATGAACAAGATTTTCCTCCAGCGTCTGTGGGCAGGAGGATCACGTTAACACTACACGGCACGTTTATTATATATACAGGGTACAGCCAGCTACCAGGACTGATCGGCAGGATGTATACACAATATCTGGGTCATACGCAAATAGATTCGCGTATCAATCGGATATGACAAGAACACGCGTGCCTTGATGACAAGCAGTTATCATGACGTCATAAATCGACCTTTCACAGGGCCATGGCATCAGTGGATTTCAATCGCTTTCATTAATCTGGTCACAACTGTGCATCAGGTATATAATCACCACCGACTGATCTATTTCGTTTGTAAACTCTGCTATTTGCTATGTAATCATATTGATGTAAAGCTGTCTTTCTATCTGGGTAAAACTCATTCATACCTGAATTTTAATAGTCGACTGTTTGGAAAATTCTAAATGTGACTATAGGGGTCAATTAAGTACATGTAACTAAATGCACTAGCGGATGTAAACTCGTGCTGTCTTCGAGATTGAGCCATATGTGCAGTTATTTTTTTGACATATCGTCCTTTGGATGCAGTGATCATATCCATTTATTACATTTCCAGCAGTGAAATATCAGAAATGATTGGTTTTGAAAACAGGTACGTGTGGTAAAATATATAGTATACTATTCAACTGGGTCGATTTAACTGAGAGAGTGGAGCGGCCGTCTCATCTGCCAAGTTAGGAGAGACACTATTGTTACTAATTTGGATGGCTGTCCAGTATATGGGTACATAACTGTTAAAAAGTCCGCACGCGATCAATAAATGATGCGCTGTTACCTACTGCAGTCAAATCTATACCAAACCATACCCCACACAGTGGTGGGACGATACGAAATATTCTCACATTAATTATTGCGATCTTCAGATCGACGTTTTACTCCTAACCAATAAGTTTACGAATCCCTCAATAAGTAATTTCGATTTGCACAAGCCTACGACCTTCCGATACAAAATGTCGATTTGATCTCCTCCAACTCCAAACTACTACAATCTACTAGACTTTATCTTATATCAAAGACATGGTATTACAATGCCATTTAAAGACGTATTGTTTAATTCTGTTTGATGTCTAAGCTTATTTATCCGTTGGCTGTGCCGTCCATCCAAACACCATGTGCAGTTATTGCTTCACACATCGTCCGTTATGATATACCGTTGTTGTTTCTGATCGATCCCAAGCTCTACACGCGAGTCCATTCCTGGCAAGTAGATGTTATAAGCTTCACTAATTTATTACAATCTTAAACCACTTTAATAGGAATTTCTTTAAAAAGAGTCAGCAGACATATAATTATATTTCATTCATATTTGAATGATCATTTTGATCTCTAGGGATGCGTATTTCTGTTTCTGAATGATTAAGTATGGAAATCCTAATTTCGCTTCAATGTGTTAGCGAGCTAAGGCGGCTTAATGGATACTGGCAATCCTACATTTAGGGGGAGCACTCCTGCTATAGTCGATTTTGACGTCACATCCAGGTATTTAAACGACACTGGCGACATGACACTTAGATGAGGCATTATCACAGAACAGTATGTCGATACAAGAAGTCGTACAGTCCATACGTCCTCGCGTCACAACTGTGTATTTATGTATCTGGTTGATTGTATTGTATTGTATTGTATTGTTTATTCAACTTGATTTATGGTACGTCCGATGTGTGGCCTATAGCTCGAAAAGTTCAATTAAGCATGATATTGACAAACTATTAATATTGCCGACTTAACAGAGAACTGTTTAACAGTTTCCATGGGAGATTTCCCACGGCACCGACATTTCCACTAAATGAAAATGTCTATGTTTCTACTTCAAACAGTCCATCATAGATGAAAGACATATCTGTTCTTACAAAAATGTACCTTTGTTTTGTTAAATTTTTTGACACTTTGACGACCTCTTTCGATAATTGGGATCTCTTGCTCCGAGTTAGTCAATAATATGTGCTAAATACGACCGTTGAAAGCAGATTCGTGTATTTAAAGGACGATCCATCCACACAATAAGGTCACACAGGGCAAAACGCTAGACGTGTGTGATAATGAACTGGAAGTAAAGTTTAAAAGGGTAGACAACTCTCACACCTCCAAAACATGTAAAAATGAATTGAGATATATTGATATCCTGTCCAATTATTCAAGTACTACTGTACTTACAAGGGTCACCACAATACCACCCTTACAAAGGAATCACCTACGTCATCTATACCACAACGATATCATAGCAAAACAAACCACCAGTGTCAAGTATATATTTCGATATTTAAGGTTGCACTGAGTAAGAGTTATCTGGTATAGAATTACTTGGAGCATGCGTTATGGAAAAGTAGGATGTTTTTTTAGATCATTATTATTGAAAATGCACTATAGAGTGTATCGCTTTAAATACGAATACAAATACAAAACCTATACCGGGCTAGTCCTGAGAGGATGTGGGTGTGTTTATAACCAGAAAATTAATATACGTCCATTAATATATTGGACAGCAGATGGAGACGAAAAAACAGGTAACAGTAAGATGAAGGACAACAAAAATTAATGTCAATGAAGTTAAAGATTAAAAAAAGGCAGTGTTTCAGTGTAAGTATGAACAACGGTGTTTCAGTGTAAAAATATACGGCGGTGTTTCAGTGTAAGTATGAACGAGGGTGTTTCATTGTAAGTATGTACGAATGTGTTTCAGTGTAAGTATGAACGACGGTGTTTCATTGTAAGTATGTACGGCGGTGTTTCATTGAAAGTATGTACGGCGGTGTTTCAGTGTAAGTACAGATGTATGAACGACGGTATTTCAGTGTAAGTGTGTACGGCGGTGTTTCAGTGTAAGTATGTACGGCGGTGTTTCATTGTAAGTATGTACGCTGGTGTTTCAGTGTAAGTATTTACGACGGTATTTCAGTGTAAGTATGAACGACGATATTTCAGTGTAAGTATGTACGAATGTGTTTCAGTGTAAGTATGTACGGCGGTGTTTCATTGTAAGTATGTACGGCGGTGTTTCAGTGTAAGTACAGATTTATATACGGCGGTGTTTCAGTGTGAGTATGAACGACGGTGTTTCAGTGTAAGTATGTACGGCGGTGTTTCAGTGTAAGTACATATGTATATACGGCGGTGTTTCAGTGTAAGTATGTACAGCGGTGTTTCAGTGAAAGTATGTACGGCGGTGTTTCAGTGAAAGTATGTACGGCGGTGTTTCAGTGTAAGTACAGATGTATATACGGCGGTGTTTCAGTGTAAGTATGAACGACGGTATTTCAGTGTAAGTATGTACGAATGTGTTTCAGTGTAAGTATGTACGGCGTTGTTTCATTGTAAGTATGTACGGCGGTGTTTCATTGTAAGTATGTACGGCGGTGTTTCAGTGTAAGTACATATGTATATACGGCGGTGTTTCAGTGTAAGTATGTACAGCGGTGGTTCAGTGTAAGTATGTACGGCGGTGTTTCAGTGAAAGTATGTACGGCGGTGTTTCAGTGTAAGTACAGATGTATATACGGCGGTGTTTCAGTGTAAGTATGAACGACGGTATTTCAGTGTAAGTATGTACGAATGTGTTTCAGTGTAAGTATGTACGGCGTTGTTTCATTGTAAGTATGTACGGCGGTGTTTCATTGTAAGTATGTACGGCGGTGTTTCAGTGTAAGTACATATGTATATACGGCGGTGTTTCAGTGTAAGTATGTACAGCGGTGGTTCAGTGTAAGTATGTACGGCGGTGTTCAATTGTAAGTATGAACGGTGGTGTTTCATTGTACATATGTACGGCAGTTTCATTGTAAGTATGTACGGCGGTGTTTCATTGTAAGTATGTACGGCGGTGTTTCAGTTTAAGTACAGATTTATATACGGCGGTGTTTCAGTGTGAGTATGAACGACGGTGTTTAAGTGTAAGTATGTACGGCGGTGTTTCAGTGTAAGTATGTACG